CTATCTCTCCCTGCCACCTCCCCAACTCCTTCCCTCCGTCTCTCGGGCACACGTGTGCACACCCTCGCTGCCTCCCTTGCCCCCTGCAGCCCCGGCACCGTCACTCTGAGCTCAGAACTTCTCCCACTGCCCTCAAGAGAGAAAGCAAGCCACCTGGGTTCGAAGCCAGGACTCAGAGGGCTAAGGGCCTCCCTGAGACCACACCGGGGCGCCGTGTCCAGGCCGTGTGCTGCAGAAAGCAATGCTCTGACACGGCAACACCAGCTGCTCCCGAAAGGGGTCTGCGGGCACAGAAGGGCGGCGGGCCCTGGCTCAGAGAGTGAGGGCTTTTATCGCAGGACTTGTCAGAGCCTTTCCCGTGGTCTGTGGGCCGGAGAGCGAGGTCGTTTCCCAACGTACCTCATCCCCGGACAGAGCTGGGCTCTCCCTCTGCGAGGACCACGAGGGCGGTGACTCACCGGAGCCCAGGTGCCCGGCCTGAGCCCAGGCCCATGAGTCACACCTGCTGCTGGGAGCCCCAGGCTGCTGAGCTCCCCTTCAGACCCAGCTCTCCAGGATTTCCTCTCGGGAAAAACTCCCGAAGGGCGGCCTGGGGTGGCTTCACACTCAGGGAGGAGGAGGGACCCGGGCAGGGAGCTGGGAGCCCTCGGAACTTTCTGGAACTGAAGGCGTGGGCCCCACGGAGGCATTCCTGGCCTTGGTGTCGCTAGGCCCCACATTCCTGGAGGCAGATGCCACGGGATCTCCCAGCCCAGGAAGGCCCCGCCAACGGCCGCGGACATTCTTGGAGTTTGTCTCAGATGGAAGGAGCCGCAGTCACGATCCAGGGGCATCCGAGTCGTGACTGCGTTTAAACCCACCCCTCCCCGCCCCTCTCCCCTTCTCACCTGGGGGCCCTGGGATCCTGGGCGCGGAGCAGACGCCTCCCGGGATCTTCGGAGAAGCAGGAAGGAGACAGGGGGAAGCGCGTCCCTGTCTTGGCTGCTGAGACCCAGGCCCAGCGCGGAAGCACAGGTGTAAGATCAGAGTCAGGTGCACGTGTTTCAGAGCCGCAGGTGTGTGCTCGTTGCCGAGGGCCCGTGCCAGGGGCCTGCGGAAATGAAAGGGTCTGTGCCTGGGACCCTGGGTGATGCTGCCTTCAGAGCCAGCTTCGGGCAGCAATGTGATGGAGACACAACACGAGCTTCTTTTTCACACTTTTTCTAACTTGGATCTCACCGGGTGGACACCTCTGGTGTAGACATGGATTGGAAGCTTTGGTGCCCACCCAGAGGTGACAGGCCACATGCAGAACAGCCACGCGTGTCAGTGGCACCAGTCCCCAGAACTTCCCCAGGGGATGGTGCAGGCGGGACAGGGTCCCCAGGCCCCCCCTGCTGATGACGGGTTGACCCCTCAAGTCCTGGGCGTGGAGAGGCCCAGAGGTGACCAGAGGCTGGGGAGAAACCAGGGTGCAGCGGGGAAACTTGAGGAGCTCACACCAGATGGAAGTATTTATTTCATTTTTAAATATATATATTTTATTGATTTTTTTACAGAGAGGAAGGGAGAGGGAGAGCTAGAAACATCGACGAGAGAGAAACATCAACCAGCTGCCTCCTATACACCCTCTACTGGGGATGTGCCCACAACCAATGTACATGCCCTTGACTGGAATCGAACCTGGGGCCCTTCAGCCTGCAGGCCTACGCTCTACCCATTGAGCCAAACCGGTCAGGGCCAGATGGAAGTATTTCATGCTTGGGACCCGGTGAGGCCGCACCGACCCATAAGGCTGAAGGTCAGTTATGCCTGCAGCTCGTTCCCCACCAATACACTGGGACAAACAGACAAATAAGCAAAACCCCAGATGCGGAGAGTGGGATTTTGTTGGAATGAGGGAGAGCCGCCCAGCGGAACGAGTGCATTCATTTCTGGGTGCCCTTCACCGGTGGCCTCTGCACCCCAGGGCTGGGGGCACTGGCGGGAACCAGCTCCTGAGAGCTGGGAGGAGGAAGGTCCTGCAAGCCCAGGCCTTGCCTGCTTTCCCACCTCCAGAAGCGCCCCCTTTCCAGCCACCGGGACAGGGAACCTCGCTGCCTGTGGGTCCTCAGTCCCCAACAGTGGCCCTGCGCCGGCCCTCAGCTGGCAGGGCATTCCGATCATCGCCCTCATTGTATGCTAAACCTAAAGCAAACAAGGTGTCATGCCCAGCAGCTCGTCCATAAAACATTAATCACTGTCCTCCTTCTGGAGAGGCCCCTGGCCAGGGAAGGTGTGCCCCACGGGAGAGATGGAAAAACCCTAATGGGCTGCACGAGGCCGGCCACGCCAAGGACAGGGGCCCTGGCACTTGTCCCTCCAGTGCTTTTCCAGACCAGCTCCCGGCTCTGGCTCCAAGGATACTGGTCCCCGGCCTGGAACCCAAAAGGAAGAGAACCCTCTCGGCTGCTACCAAGTCCCCCCGCAAAGGCGATGTGGCCCTTGGGACCAAGTGGCAAATGGCTTCCGTGAGCCATCCACAGATGTCCTGTGTCCCTCTTTGAGCCCACACAAGCTTTTGAGGCAACTCAAAAGGCTGGGGACCACTGAGGCTGGATGGCGTCCCTATCTCTGGCTGGCCGGTTGACTGACCCCCGTGCAGGTAGCTTCGCAGGTCCATTCTTCTCCCGTGGACCCCTCAGCACCTCTCCGGGGCCTTAATCCTGGAGGAGGAAGGGAAATACGAGTTGCTGGATGCTTAGAAACCCAGGACTGGCTGACCCAAGGCTTGAGGTCATGCATATGTGCACCTGAAAAGCAGCTTCAGGCAGATCTGCACAGTGACCACAGAGGGACTTCAGGTCGTTCCCTCCAAAGGGCTTTGGGAAATGGTGCGATCTGAGCCAGCTTCCTCCGAGGCCTCGGAGCAGGTGGGGCAATTGTGGAAGGGCAACTCTTTGCTCTTGAGAGTTTAATGGAGAGACAAATATTCTAGGATTGAGGCACTGCTGGATGGCATCCTGCTTCCTGCTGGGCCAAGTGCAGAGGGCATGGCCTTCTGGGCCGGCTGAGCCACCTCCATGTGCACATCTCGGGACCACAGGGGAGTCCAGTGGGGAAGGGGCCTGCTGGCTGGTCTCCGCAGAGACTCAGCGGATGGGGTGGTGGTGCCCCACCCACCGAAGCACCTCATGTGTGCAGTGGCTCGATGCTTGGCAGCTGGAGGACAACGGTTGAGTCATGGAATCTTCCAGGAAATTTACTCTCTCCATTAAAGTTTGATGAACAAAACTGACAAGGGCTCTGGTTGTTCTAGAAGCCCCATGCCAGTTCTAGTTATTCCCCTAAAACCTCTCTTCTGTGCTAGGCTTGACAGAACATGAGCAGAGTGGAGTCAGGCATGACCCTTGAGAGTGGGGGTATCTGAAGCACTGAACGCACAGGCTGGAAGATGACAGGGAGTCTGGGATAGCCTGGCCACAAAGCTCTTGCTCCTAGACTTGCACGGATTCTGAGGCCCCTTCATAGTGCACTAATAGTCCTCAGCTTGCAGCATTGCCCTTCCCTTTCCCATGTACTCTCCTGGGAAAGAACAACCTCTGAATGAGCAGGTTTAGCAGACATTTTCCTTCCAGATAGAGGGTCAGTCAGACTAGAGGGCACTGGGGAGGCTGTGATGGTGCCAGTGCCAGGAGAGCAGCCTGGGGCCAGGTGGTGCCAGTGTGTCTCAGGCAGACTCTGTGTCCAGCTGGCCCCGGAAGGAAATGCTTCTCCTGGTGCTAGAATCCCCTCCAGCCAGGTGGTCTTTTCCCTTCCTCTTCCCTCTTCACACCTTCCAGGCAGGGGAAGCCTGGCAGCCCAGCTGGCCCAGAGCTAAACTTAGCGAAGGTCGTGACAAAACAGGGGAGCACCACAGATGGGAAGAGCCCCATTGCTGAAGCCAGACAGGGGGCAGGTTCAAGTCCCGATTCTGGCCCCAGCCTTTTGTGAGAGCTTGGGCCCATCATTTCATCTTCAGGGGCCTCAGCATCCTCCGTAAATGGGGGCAGTCATCTCTGCCTTCCAAGGATGCCATAAAGATTAGAAAGACTGCATGCGAAGTCCCAGGGGAGTTTCTCACAAACAGTAAGCTCCCGCCTGGCACTAGAAGTTATAACTAAGCCATCAATTGAAAGGCTCTGCCCTGGAGTGGCCAGGGCCGGTCCAGGAAGAGTAGGGGTTGAGGTGGGGGTGGCCGGGGCCCATGGTGGGGACTGAGAGGGCTTCGTGCCTGCAAGGACAGGACGCCATAAGAAGACAAGCCAAGCTGGGCTGTGAGAGCCTCGCACACGCTCCCAATCCGGCCTGGGCTGCCATGGGCAAGTGGCTAGTCCATATTTTGTCAGTTCAAGGGGCCTGGGGTGGGAGACAGGGCCTTTTTCAGCCCACACTGGCCTTGGACTGCAGGAGGACAGGGAAAGGGCCAGGCAGAGGGGTCCTTTCCTGGCTCATGGTCCCCTCCAGATAGAGGCCAGCCCACTCTGACCTCTCTTCTCTGACCAAAGCCACAGACCCTCCAGGCAAAACGCCCATTCGAGGTGGAGGTGCCCACAGAGCTCCGGGCCTGAGCTGTCTCCCTCTGAGCTTCTGCAGGTCATGGCCTCTGCCTGGTGCTCACCCCACTCAGCTCAGCTGCGTGAGCCCGCCTCCCCCAGGGGACTGAGCCTTGGGCCCCAGTACCCAGCCCAGGGGTGGGTGGGGTCAGAAATAGGAGGGAAGGGACAAGGAGGGACACCTGGGCCATCCCTAGGTCCTCCTAGGAGGAGGGCAGAGGGTCTAATGGGACTGTCACACTTCAGACCTGCTGCTCCCCACCCCTTCGTGTGCTGGAATAAAAACAGGCCCCACCAGGGACAGGACCCTGTACCCCTCAGGCCGAGACCAGGGATCCTGGGGCAGGAGGGCGGGCAGGGCCTCCGTGGGTGCACCCCTCTCTCCTCCCAGACCCGGAGATCTCCCATGGAAACCCGGTGATGAAAGAAAGCCGCAGGAAGCCTGGGTGACATTAAAAGTCATTTTCCTTTATTTATTTATTTATTTTTTAACATACAATGAAATTCCAATTCCCAAGAGACATGTGCAGAGCAGGCAGAAGCAGGGCCTGGTGAACAACAGCAAGGACAGGCAGGGGCGTAGGCCTGCCCCCACTCCCCTCTGGCACAACCCTCGGGCCCGGGGCCCCTGCCCAGGCTGAAACAGAGAAGCTAGGGTGAGAGGGGCCAGTCTCATGGGCCAGGTAGTAGCCAAAGACATGGCCTTGGCTGATAGGCCTGGCCAAATCATGACCTAGCTGTGGGCCCTTGGGCCTCGGTTTCCTTATCTGTAAGGTGGGCTGGAAGTCCCTGCTAGGGAATGGGAAAGAGCGTGTGCAGATGGGCTCAGGGACTGTTAGGGCCTCCTGCTTCTGGGTACCTGGGTATGGTGTCTCCGTTTTGTCACCATCGTGGCTGTGGGCACGTAAGGGACCTGCTCTGGCTCTGATGGGATTGAATGGACTGTAGATGGCTGCTCTTGAAACCAACCTTGTGCTCTGAACTATACGTACTTGGGCTGCAGCCGCAGGTCCTTCATCAGGTCAAGGCCAAGGCCACGGCCGACTCTCCCTCCAGGTAAGTGAGGAGGGAAGGCTGTGGCCTGGGTCACACGGGGGCCTGGGTCACACGGGAGCCTGAATGCCTCCAGCCAGGAGCTCAGCAGCAAGGGGGCAAGCTGCTCCTCGCCCCTCACCATCAGCTGGGGCCTTGGAAACCCCTGAAGTCCAGCCAGGGCATCTGCTGCCGTGGGCCGAGCCACGTCTGTCCCCACTGTCCTTTCATAAACACATGCTTGTGTCACAGGGACCTGTGTCTCCTCCGGCAGGAGGGAGGAAGCAGAGAACAGGGTACTGGTCCAGGTGATGCAGCGACAGGCGGAAAAGACCAACTAACACTCAGCGAGGAGACCTGGGCGTTCCTCCTTTGACCTCTAAGTGCCCTTCCCTGGGCAGCAGCAGGCCCTGTCTGGTTCCAGCGGCTGGCCTGGCCACTGCTCGCTGCTTGGAAGCACGCATGTGTCCTTGCTGCATCTGTGCTGGGGGAAAGAACCCACTGGGCGCGAGTGGAAGACGCGGATGCAGACAGCATCTTCCGGAGCCCACAGTGCGTCTACACTCACAGAACCCCAGAGAGGGACCTCGGGCCCCGGGCCTTCTCTGTCCCTGACCCTCTCAGACGGGGGCACGGGCCAAGCTGGTCACCGCTCGCTCCTAACCCACCCCTCCCGGGGTCTCTTTCCCCGAGAAGCACCTCTGGGGGCAAAGGGCAAGTGACAGGAGAAGGCTGCACCCAAAGGCGCAGAGCGATGACAGCGGGGCCCCAGGCACCTGCGGCCAGTGAGCTGGGGAGCTGCGTTGGGGTGAGGGGCTTTCTGGCACACTCTGAGGGCGGGTGCCTCTCTTTCAGCTCCTCTGGGACCTCCAGGGAGTGGGCGAGTGGGCAGTCTGGGTCTCCAGGAAGCCCCAAGGCCAGGCAGCAGAGAAAGAGAAAGAAAGTGATAGGAAGAGCCCAAATCAGGCGTGGCCACGCACGTCCCTCGGATCTTCGGCGAGAGACTTTGGCCAGCTCGTCAGAGTGTCTACAATATGGGTTCCACCCGCCCCTCCCGCCGCCCGCCCCTGCCCCCTCCCCCGGTGATTGCGGGGCCAGGCCCTCTACTTGGGCTTCATCTCCACCCGGGAGTGGATGTCCTCGCCGTCCAGGTCGTACTCCTCGGCCTGGCCGCTGGTGCACACCTTCATGCGGTCCGAGAGGTCGCTGCTGCGCGGTGCCAGGATGAAGTCGTAGATGAGGACGGCCAGGGCGGCCCCGATGAACGGCCCCACCCAGAAGACCTGGGCGGAGAGCGTGCTCAGCGGGCAGGGCCAGCCTCCCTCCGGGCCAGCCTCCCTCCGGGCCAGCCTCCCTCCGGGCCAGCCTCCCTCCGGGCCATGGACGGTCCCCGCTCCCGGGGGGGGGGGGGGGGCTGTCCCTGCGCTCCCCGCCCCACCACCCACCGAGGGGTTCTCTCCCACTGTGCCAGGCTGCACCCCAGCTTCCTGATGCCAGTGCCCCCCACGTCTGGCCCAAGCCCGGACAGTGGGAGTGGGCATCTCCCTGCCCCCGAGGGGCCCCGCTCAGCCCCTTCCTGAGACTGGCCACTGTCCTGCCCCGCTGCAGAGAGAGGGTCACAGAGGCTAGATGGGTGAAAGGCTGGCCTGGAACAGACACGCCAACAGTGCCCAGCCGGTGTGGCTCAGTAGTTGAGCATTGATGTATGGACCGGGAAGTCACGGATCGATTCCTGGTCAGAGCACACACCTGGGTTATGAGCTCCATCCCCAGTAGGAGTAGGGGGCGTGCAGGAGGCAGTCAATCATTGCTTCTCTCTCATCAATGTTTCTATCTCTTCCTCTCCCTTCCTCTCTAAAAAGCAATAAAAACGTATTTTTTTGAAGCACACCAACAGTAAGAACAGCTAACTCCATGGAGCCCCGAACCCGTGCTGAGCTCAGCTTGCGGGCGGTGAGGCCGGTTGTCCCCCCTGGCGGGTAGCGGGTGCCGCTGCACCCAGCTTCACAGCTCAGGAAGTGGGCTGGAGAGGCCAGCAGCCTGCCCAGGTCATGCCCAGGTGGAAAGTGGCAGAGCCGGGACTCAGGCCTGACTCCCGACCTTGCTGCTGGCCGAGCTGGGAGGGGACCCCAGCCCTCGCTGTGCCAGGCCTGGCCCACGCTCTCCACCTCAGCTCTGCGTTCAGACCCCCTGCCCCGGCTCCTCGCAGGGCCTCTGCTACAGGGTGGGGCCGGGCTTCTGGGCTTCCGCGGCACCATGGCCTCCGCCCACTGCCAGGGCAGCCCTCAGCGCTTACCCAGTGGTCCTTGAAGTTGTTACTGATCACAGACGAGCCGAAGGACCGGGCAGGGTTGATGCTGCAGCCCGTGTAGTCGATCTGTGAAGGGAAGCACGTGGCAGAGGGAGGGGAGACAGAGAAACACACAGGGGGAGTGGAAGAAAAAAACAGAGAAAAGCAGACAGGTGACAATCAGCACCAGAAAGATGGTCAGGAGGCCCCTGCCCTTCCCTCTCGTAGGCAGAACCTGCCTCCCCACCATCCTCCCTCCTTCCCTCCTTCCCTCTCCCCTCCCGCCGAGGCCCAAAGAGCTGATAGCCCCACAGAATAGCTCAGTCTGGGTCCCTTCCCCTGCCCATGACAGGATACCCCCGCAGCCCCTGCCCAGCCTTGCCCTCTCCACCCCACCCCCACCCCACTCACCGCCAGCAGGTGTCCCAAGGCCACGGAGAGGCCTATGGCAAGTGGGGCTGAGCCCCCCAGGTCCCGGCGCCTCCGGTCGGTGGTGGCCAGCACGCACAGCACCAGCTGCAGAGTGGCGATGATCTCGATGCCCAGGCCCTGGCCCGCGTTCACGCCGGAGGCCAGCTGTAGGGGACAGGGACAGCGAGGCTCCATGAGGCCCGGGCACTGTGGACCAGACCCTCTGTGCCCTGAGAGCCCACCACAGCACCCGTGGCTGTGCCCGGAGGGGCTGGGCCCTCTCCAAGCACACACAGCAGGTGTTGGCACCGGCCTGTCCGTCTCACACCAGCTGAGGGAGCGCCAGCTGGGCCCTGGCACCTGCCCAGAGGCCGGGGAGGCTGGGGTGAGGCGGGGCGGAGGGGAGGATGGGAAGGGAGAGAGAGTGTCTGCATCCTTGGTCCACTGGGACCGGGGCCATAGGCGAGGCCCAGGCAGGGAAAGAGATGGTAAGGGACCCTCAGTGACGGGCATGGGAGGAAGCAAAAGGGTGGGAGGGCCCCGCTGGAGACATTGCTTTTTCCCAAAAGTCCAGAACATTCTACCCCTTCCCTGGCTGCATCCAAACCTCCCAAAGCTGAGAGGTCCTGCTCAGCCGGCCCAGCTCCCTCGGTGCCTCTCTCCTTCGGGCCTGCCTCCTCCCCACCTCTGTCTGGCTCCCCTGATCCGGAGCCTCTCCCACTTCCGGGCGGCACCTTCCCTGCCTGCCCCCCCCCTCCCTCCCTGTCCAGCCCCCTCCCTCTCTCTGGCCACACAGGCCTCTGCACCACATCAGCTGTCACTTGCCCCCGGGCCGCTTTCAGTGGCATGACTCATGGAAAAGGAAGGGACTGGGAGCTGCTGTGAGGTCCCCAGAGCCCACCCGCTGCGGCTGCACCAGGGAGACCCTTCCTCAGGAGCCCCTGCCCGGCCCCCTGGGACCAGGTGCCCACACAGAGGACCTGGGCCGCATCAGCACAGGCCCGCCCCCAATGATGCCCGGATGTGGCCCCATGGGCTGCCTTCTCCCAGGCAGGGCTGGGGTGTCCCAGGAAGCCTACACGTGAAGGAGTCCCGTCCTGAGGGTAGGGGCTGTGTCTCCAGGGTAGTCGGGGCTCTGCAGAATCCCAGGTGGGGGGCCCTTCTCCTCCCTCCGGAGGCTTTCCCAGCCACCCAGGGAGGGCGGCCCACAGAACAATCCTCTTCCCGCCTTTGTCTGCAGCCCTGGGTCACAGGGAAAGTGACTCACAGCCCAGGCTGGGCCAGCCCTCGGGCTCCTCGGCTCGCTGACGCCGTGGCCACGGCCTGGCCGCGCTGGCCCTCGGTATCCCCGTCTATAAACTAGATCGGGGGGGGGGGGGGACGGGGACGGGGACGGGACGGTCCCGGGGCGTTTGGTTCCGGAGAGCTGTGGCTTTGTTCTGGTTCTTGTCCCTCTTATCCAGGGACTGGACAGGCAGGAGGGAAGGGCCTGGCTGTGAGGGGTGTGGAGGAGACAGGGGGGAGGTCTGCCTGGTCCGGAACAGGCTCCGCGGAGGCCCGGCCGGTGAGGCGGGGCCCGTCACACTCACACCTGCCGCTGCCCTCCGTGCCTGCGCGCCCGGGAAGCTCAGGCCCCCCTCCCGCCGCTCCCCCGCTCTCCAGGGTCGGCCTAATTGCCGGCTGGCGGGAGGCCCGAACCCAGCCCTTGCACGCTGATTAATGGAGCCCTCGCTCTAAGTGGCTCCCGCCTCGTACTCCCCCATCCCAGCCCGCCGCGCTCACAGATGTGGCCTGGATGAGCTCATCTCCTCCCCCGGCTCTCCACCAGGTCTGAGCATCCCGGGCCCCGGCTCTCCCCAGGGCACCGCTTTCCATGCGAGGGGAGCAGGGACCGGTGCCCTGCCCTGCCCTCGGAGTCCACAGGAATGGGCCGCCCGCCCTGGGGTCTCCAGGCTGGCCCTTCCTGGCTGCCCAGAGACCCCCCAGAGCCACCCCAGCTGATAATCCTCCCCTCCCAGAACCTAGTACCACCACCACCACCCTCAGGAAGCCCCCCCGATTGCTTCCCTGGCTACCGACCGCCTCTCCTTGGAGGGCCACGGCGCCGGCGTCACTGACATCTGGAAAAACTTGATGATTCAGAACTGGAAAGGGGTAGTGAAACCCGATGTCCAGGAAAGAGCGGGTAAAAGTTCTAAACATATGTTACTATTTGCAACCCATTAAACTGGAAACAATTAAACGCGCAGCCAGTCCCAGCTGCGGTCACTCGCCGTGGAGAAAAGTACACGTTTGCACACCCACCCCGGGCCCTCCCGCCCAGCCCGGGGCTGATCGTTCGCTGATGAGGAAAGGAACAGCTTTGTGCGTGCAGGTGGGAATAACAGAAAAGCCCACGCGTCCCCTGGGACACCCCTGAAAGGCGCGCGTGTGCGTACCAAGCCCACGGAAGCCGGCTCTCACTGCGCATTCAGACTCCTCTCCCTCCCGTTTCCCCCCCTCCCTCCCCGCAGCTCCAAGAAGCCTTCCCAGGTCCCTGGCCAGGAGCAGCTCCTGTGGTTACCCCGCCAGCCCTCACTGAACTGCCCGAATCTTCTGTCTCCTATGGGGGTCCTCACCCACCCACCACCGCCCCCGCCCCCCGGGGCTGAGAGCTCAGTGAGGGAGGGCAGGAGGCTCCCCAGCTCCCTGCCCAGCCCCTGGAGGGACACTCGCGGTGCGGTTTACGGTTTACGTAAGTGGTGAGGATGCTAATTATCTAGATCTGGCCCCTCCGGGAGGCAGCCGGATCCGGGAAGCTCTCTGGCCCCCAAGGAAGGTGCCTTTGCTTTCTCGCTGGGGGACCACAGGCCAGTCGTCAGCTTTCGTGGTCCCTGCGGGCGGCCGGTGCCAGGGCCCCGTGTGACGGTGGGTGGGGGGTGGAGACCCAGGGAGGAGGCTGCACAGCCAGGATCCTGGCCCCGGGTCTGTGCCTCCCACACGCCCAGGCCACGGCGCTGGCGGCCACCGGCCAGGCCCAGGGACCCGGCTGCTCCCAGCGTGGACTGGGCAGCCGGCAGGAGACGGCTCTTTAGCTGCCAGTGTGTCCTGGCACCAGAGTGGCACAGGGCCCACCTCTCCAGGCAATAAGCCTCAAACCCGCTCTCCTGCCTGTGGGCAAGCTGACCAAGGTAATTCTGAGGCCCCGGCCCTCTAGTTGGCCTGGACGCTGGCACCCCCCGCCTGGGGGCTCCAGAGCCAGGCCTGCCGAGGCTCTGAGCACCTTCTCTAGAAGAGCAGGGGACGGGAGACAGCGAGGCCGCCACCACCCACGGCACAGCACTCTCATTGGGGGCGTGTGCTTGATTTAAGGAGAATATGTCAGCTTTGCACCTCCAAATTTGAGAATATTTTCAGCCTACTCGAGACATTCAGACACACCTGCTGTGCATTGGCCGGTGGGTCCACTGACTCCGAGAATCCCCACCACATGGGTCCCGGGTCCCGGAGGCACGTGGCCCTGGATGGCCGTGCTGGGTGGCATGGCTGGGGGTGCAGGCGTGTGTGTGTGTGTCCCTGTGTGTCGCACACCCACACAAAGGTGCCCCTGCTGGCTGGGAGGGGGAGGAGACGGGAAGGAGGCCCCCCGAGTGAGGCAGAGCAGGTCTCAGAAGGCCCTTTATTTGCTCGCAGAAGCCATTCCATCTTCCTGACAAGAAACAATACACAAAGCAATGGCTTCCTCCAGCCTCCCTCCCCCGCCCCCCAGCAGCCCCTGCCCTGCGGCCCGAGAGGAAGAGCCCCTGCCCCACCCTCAGCGTGCCAAGGCCTGAGGGGAGTCACGCAGACTTGAGAATTGCCCCACACTCATGTGTGTGTGCCCCCCTGCGCCAGGTACCAGTGTGTGTGCATGTGCATGTATGTGTGTGTAGGGAGGTGAGTGTGTGTGTATGTGTGTATGTGTGTGCCTGTGTATATGTGTGCGTGTATACGTGTACGTGTGTGAGTGTGTGCATGGGGGTGAGTGTGTGTGAGTGCGTGTGTTGGTGCAGCTTAGGTGTGTCCACTTAGGAAAACGGGGGCCTTGGATTGGTTGCTCCAGGACCCCTCCCTTCCCGACGTGGACCCCCACCTCTGAGACCTAGGATCACCTCCGGTGCAGAGCGCGTCACAGGACCTCTGCCGCCCTGCTGTGCCCGCGGCACAGATCCTCCGGGCGGGGCTCTGAGGACAGGCCGCCGGCTGGGAGGCAGCCTCTGCCGGTGGAAACAAAGCGGCCCGTCCGAGCCGACAGCCTCCGGGCGGCGGGTTTCAGGTGAAGGAACTGCTCGTTTCCCCCCTCCCGCCATCTTCTGAGGCGGGTCAGCCTCGGCGTGCTCACCCACCGGGCAGCACTGTGGGCACAGAGCCCCCTGGGCCCTGGGAGAGCCCTGCCTCAGGGAGCCTGGCCATGACACCCCCCCCTCCTCCCCCTCAGGTGTGGGCTGCGCCCCGGACACCGCGCTTCCAGAGGATGGGGACCCGGACCCCGGGAGGTTCTGCTGTAAGAAACGGGGCTTCCTAAGCCCAGAGGCGAACAGGGGCACTGGGCTGCCTGGGAGAGCCCCCTGGTTGGGTGCTGAAGGAACACCCACTGGGTGGGGCCCTAGAGAAAGCGGGGAGCACTGTCTGGGCCGAGCTCAGGCTGGGAGGCCTGCACGGTGGGAGGGGGCTGTGGCTGAGGAGGCAGGGCAAGGTGCGTCCCCTCAGACCGAGGCGCCGTGTCAGAGCGGCACCCCTTCCGATGCGGGTTCCCCCGAGGGCCTGGCCAGGCAGGGGTGGGGCAGCCAGGGGCCAGCGGGCCGCTGAGAGGGCTCGGAGGGTGAACGGCCTCAGAGGTCCATGGGGAGGGAAGTCTCCACCGCAGGCCTGCTCTCTGTGCCGCCCCCTCCTCTGAGCCAGGCTGGAAACCATAATTACAGGCCCAGCTGGGCACCACCAGCCCGGCTGCCCCGCCAGCCCCGCCCCGCCCCAGCAGGCCTGGCGGACAGGGTCCTTGGGAAATTCTGGCCTCCCTTTCCCCAGCCCACTGCCAGCTCTGGAGGAGGCAGGAGGGGTCCCCAACTCTGGAAGGGGTGGTGGCATGGGGGCCTCTCACTCTGGTTGGGGAAACTGAGGCCCGGGAAACCGGAGAAGAGGCAGGTTTAGGGCTGAGGTCAGGCCTCGGGTGCAGCAGGCAAAGGCAGTCAGGCCTGAGTTGGCAGGGCTAAGGAAGACCCCCAAAGAGGGGAGTTTGTGCTCTGCCTGAGCCCCCTGAGGCGCTGACATGGCAGGCACTGGGATGGCAATCCCTCAGGGGCACAGTCAGACCCTGGCCTGGTCCTGAGCCCTCCAGAACCCACCCTCCTGCCATGACCCCCGTCCGGCCACAACCCACAACGCCCAGGCCACAACCTCTCACTGGCCCCTAGCCTACGCTGACAGCCCTTCCCTCGTGGGTCTCCTCACTGAGGCTCATGTGACACCTCCTCCCTGAAGCCTTCCTGGCCCTCCCCGCCCCGCAGGTCAGAAGTCGCCTGGCCACCCTGACACCTCTTATCACACCTGCCTCCTGCCTCCTATCACAGGCAGCTGTGCACGGGGCTTATCTCGCCCAGACCCAGACCGTGGGCTTCCCCGGGGCAAGGAGCGGCTGGCTAGGCCCGCACGGAGCCTGCAGCGGCCGGGCCCTGAGAGCGGGCGGCCGAGGGGAGACAGGGGGGGATGGGGGGGGGAGGCGAAGGAGCCAGGTGCTCACGACGGCATCCTCTACACCCAGAGCGCAGCCCCGCCCCGCTGTGTCCCATCTCACAGACTGGACCCAGGGCCGTCCAGGCAAGGCCGTTGCATGGAGTCACACCGGGTAGCAGAGCGGGCGGGGCACTGCTCCTGGCCCCCCAGCCTCTCACCTTGGCCAGAATTGGAGTTTGACCCTTAGGCCCAGCCGGGGGTCCTGCAGGCCCGGGGTCCCTCCAGGGCGCACCCTGAGCCCTGACTCAGTGGGGAGAAAGTTCCCCGGGGGCCATCCCTGACTCACACCAACCACTTCCTGCCACTTTTTCCCCTATTTTCCTTGGAAATCTCCATGCCAATGCCTGGCTCCACCCAGACTTGGTTAGGGTGGGGCCCCAGGCCCAAGGGGAGCCCCCTCTCCCCAACACACTAAGGTCTGGAGGAAAGAGTAAGCTACCAGCTTTGTAAACTGGTCTCTGTGCCTCTTGAGGCCCAGGGTCTGACAGGCCAGCCCCCGTGGCGGGCGGGAGACTGCTGCAGGTGGACAGGGCAGTGCTGGGCCCCAGCACAGAGCTCAGCTCACTCCTGTCCAGCTCGGCCCCTGGGCCTCAGCCCAGCCCTGGGCAGGGTGATAACCGTCAGCCCCCCGGCGCCTGCTGCGAGCGCGGGTGTGGCCAAGAGCTATCAGACACCTAGGTGCCCGTGTGCAGCCTCGGGCCCTGGGCTCCACGGAACCGCAGCGAGTTAGCAGCAGATAGGACTGCCCCCAGACAGGCCTGGCCCCCCAGAGGCTGCCCCCTCCCCCTCCTGCCTCCAGCCTGCCCAGCCCAGGGATGAGGGTGACTCTGGAAAGTGAAGGCCAGAAAGGAGACGAGACCCTGGGGCAGGGTGTGGCCAGGTCAGACGGCATTTGCCTGGTGCACGGTGGTGGAGGGGACTGAGCTCCCCTGCAGAGGCCTGTCCCTGGAGAGGGAGGGTCAGGAGGGGCCGGGAAAGCCTGGGGCCCAGCTCCTCCCCTCGGAGGACCACTTCCCAGCCCATCAGGCCGGCTGAGCTCCAGGGGGAGCCTCCCTGCCCAGAGGGGCACTCCCAGAGGTGGCCTGGCTCTGCCCTCACTGGAGAGGCTGAGGCTGGAGGGCCATGCCCCTTCCGCCCTCCTGGCATTGCCTTCCTGACTAAAGTCTAAACTCCAGCAGCACGGCTAATCGTTAACCGTGGGCCGAGCGGCGCTGGCTCTCCCCAGAGCTGGGCGAGGTGTCACTGTGACACGAACGCTAATCCCCTGCCCTCTGCACAGATCCTGCCGCCCGGCCTGAGCCTTGGCAGGGAAGCCCGAGGACAGTCCCAGTCACCACCCAGTGCCATCTCCCGCCCGGTCCCCACCCTGCCCGCCCTGCCCAGGGCCCCGCCAGCCTCTCTCTCCACAGGAGTCCTAAGTCCTCCTCTCTGCTCCCTGGCCTCTCCCCTCCCCGGGAGAGCACCCCCACCAGGTGCTCCTCCACGTCCTGCAAGCCTCAGTCAGCCTCTGGGCCAAAAGCCCCCTGCTGTGGCCCAAGCAGGGGGCGGAGCATGCACTTGGCCTGGGGTCTGGAAAAGCCCGGGTCTGCGGCAGCGGCAGCGGGCAGCTTGGCGGCAGCCAGAGGCCAATTAGCTGTGCCAAGCGGCCCGAGAGGAATTCTTTTCAGCGGCTGCCACCCATTGCCAACATCTGCTTGTCGTTAGTGCCCCTAGCCCAGGCCCCTCTCCAGCCAGCAGCCGTAGGCACAGGCGGGGACCCCCTCTCCCCCACCCAGGCTCACCCAGCCCACTAACATGCACACACACTCACACACTCACACACACACACACACTCACACACACACACACACGCACGCTGGCAGAATCGGACGGCTCGGGAGCGCACGGCTTACGCTCACAGGAGCCCCATGCCGCCGTCCACGTGGATCACCGTCCACACACAGACACACGGGCCACACCTCCCGTGCCCAGCCGCAGAGGGAAGCCCAGGCCCGGGCAAGAGGTCCCTGCCTGTCCCGCCCTGCAATCCAGGAAAACCACCTGCCAACCGCCCGAGCGCCTTCCCGGCCCCCGTCTCTCCCAGTCCTGGGGCCAGAGGGGCGGGAGGGGGTTTCCCTGAAGGGGGTTTCCTAACGCCCGTCTGGGGTGGGATGGGGATGCCAGACCAGCAAAGTCTGGTGTCCGCCTCCAGGGAGGGCAATGCCCACCTCCGGCTGGAAGAGGGGACCTGTGGGGCTCCCTGGAGATCAGTGGGAGGAGATCAGTCCTCAACTGCCCACGCCCCTGCAGACCTGGCTGCCGGGCACCTGGTTTGGGGGAGCTGGGCACATTGGGACTGAGTTTCCAGGGTCCAGGCTGCAGGAGCAGGGAGCTGAGTGCACAGGCAGGGCTGAGAGGTGAGGAGCTGCTGGCCCCACGCTGGCTGCCTCCAGGGCTCAGTCCCCACAATAGATGACCTCAGGGGACGTCGGCCAGACTGTTATTCTCGGGACCTCAGCTTCCCAGTGCCCGGCAGGAAGCAGGCTCCAGGCTGCTGCATGCAGAGCCCGGTTCCAGCCCCAACTCCGCGTGACCCTCCCCGTGGCAACCTCTTGTCCACTCAGCGGGTGGAGGAGACCGAGGCCTCTGTCAGCGCCACCCGCAAGCCCACCCTACTCACCGCATTGCTGCCCAGGGTGTTGCCGGGCAGGGAGGAGGTGATGCCCGAGAGGATGGCCGTGGCCACGATGGCCCCCACGCACTGGGCGATGATGTACAGGACGGCGCGGAGCACGCTGATCTGGCAGCTGAGCAGCAGCCCCAGCGTGACGGCCGGGTTGAGGTGGGCGCCGCTGATGTGGCCCACGCTCTGGGCCATGGTGGCGATGCTCAGCCCGAAGGCCAGGGACACCTTCACGTTGTCCTGGGCCGCACCTGACGTCTGGTTGTTCTTCAGGGGGAAGTTGAAGCCCAGGGCGGACCCGATGCTGATGACGATGAAGAGGGTCATGGCCAGGAACTCGGCCACCACAGCCCTCCAGAAGAGCTTCTTCTTGAACTCGCTGGCCATGCTGGCTGGCTGGTGGGGGCTTGGCTGGAGACCTCTGCCTGGTGTCTGACTCCCTCGGAGAGCTGAGCCACGGCCCTGGCTGGGCCTATTTATAGGGCCCCCGGGGGAGGAGGGGAGGGGGGAGCACAAAGGGAGGAAGGCCTCTCCTGCTCCTGGCCCGCCCCACACCGCACGGGCCTCCTCTGGGCGATGGATGTAGACACAGCGCTGCTGTTGGCCTGCCAACTTTTTTCCCTTCCTCCTCTCACCCCTCCCTGCCGCTCTCCCTCCGCCCTCCGCCCTGCCCAGCCCTGGAGGCAGGCGGGAGGCTGCTGCTGCTCTAATAGGCTTTGGGAAATTCCTCCGAGTGGGCCCCCGCTCAGGGGGCTGCAGAAATCCAGGTGTCCTGCCCTGTGTGCATAGCTTAGGGGGTGCCCCAGGGCAGAGCCAGGCACTCCAGAAAGGGGGTGGGGGGATGGGGGACTGGGCAGGCTGGGCCCAGAGGGTGGACATTGCCCTCCTTGGAGGCGGGCACCATGACTTTGCTGGTCTGGCATCCCCATCCCACCCCAGACTGGCGTTTAGTCTGGAATCCATGCGTCCAGGCATCAGAGGGGCAGCCCGGGCCTCCTGCACCTCAGTCCTGGGCTGGCCACTGGATGTCACCCCAGGGATGTCCCAGAGTCCCGAGCACATCGCCAGGCCTCAGCCAAGGGGTCGCCGAGGCATCAGGAGTCTGAGAGCTGGTCTGCAGACCAGTCCGGCTCTGGGACCGAGGCCAGGCCCGAGCGAGGGGAGGGGGCTGGGAGCCCCACCCCAGGAAACCTCAAGCCTCTGGGGCAATTCCCAGCGGCGATTCAGGGGCAGAACCACAGGAGACAGAGGAGGGAAAGGGGAGGAAGGGAGAGTGAGGAGTGAGGACAGACAGACGGGGAGGAAAGGGGAGCAGACACAGCCCTGCAGGGAGAGGAAGACAGACAAAGAGGGAAGTAGAGTCACAGAGTGAAGGAAGTGAGAGAGAGATCCCCAGGCAGAGACAGTGACGCGGGCCAGGGAGGAGAAGGAGAGACGAAGAACGTGCCTGGGGTGAGACTGGCTGAAAGCGGGGAGACCCGACTGGGCCCAGAGAGCAGAGCGAAAAGGGGAAGATGTATGAGGAGTGGGAGGCGCGAGGAGGAACCAGACAACACACTGAATGAGAAACTGTATCCCCTGGCCAGAGCCCTAAGGCCTGGCCCCAGGAGAGAGCACCCCACCCCGGCCTCTCCCGCCCCCTGCCTGCCCCACGCAACCCTGTGTGTGAGTGGTGGCTTGTCCCCATCTTATAGGTGGGAAACTGAGGCCCAGTGCAGAGAAGGATTTCTGCGTTCTGCAGGTACCGGGGCGGGCAGGGGTGAGCGTGTGGGCTGGGGCCGCCTGTCTGGGGCCAACTGCAGAGATGACAGCAGGCCCCTCCCCTGGCCACCCTCCCGCCCAGACCCAGCAAGGAGCCACCAGGGGTCAGGCTGGCGTTTGCTGGGAGGAAGCCCGCTGGGGGAGGAGATGGGGGGGGGAGTGCCTACCCCAATGCACCAAGTGCCTGCGACACAAGCAGAAGTCTCATGGTTGCCGGCGGGTCCTGTCTGCTCAGAGAGACCCAGCAGCTGTGGTCAGAGGTAATCTGTACCCTATTAACTGTGTGTGTGTGTGTGAGAGAGAGAGAGAGAGAGAGAGAGAGAGGGAGGAGAGAGAGGTAGAGAGGAGAGAGAGAGAAAGGAGAAGAGAGAAGGGGAGAGAGAGAGAAGGAGAGAGAGGGGAGAGAGAGGCAGAGAGGAGAGAGATGTAGAGAGGAGAGAGAGAGGTAGAAAGGAGAGAATGGAGAAAGACAGAGAAGAGAGAGAGAGAGAGAGAGAGAGAGAGAGAGAGAGAGAGAGAGAGAGAAAGAAAGAGGGGGAGAGAGAGAGATAGAGAGGAGAGTGCCGGCCTACTGGGGCCACTTCCAGAACCTCCTCCAGATCTGTCCCTCCGGCAGCTCTGGGTCGGCTCTCCGCAGCCCGGAGGTTCCCTCTCGCCATGGCCGGGTCCAGTGCTCCATCCACAGGCCTGAGATCCTAGCACCGGCTCCAGGCGCTGGCCCTGCTCCCCCTCAGACCGGGCCTGAGCGGGACCCCCTCCCCTCATGTCCTCTAAGAGACATCCGTCCTCCTCTTCCTCCTGCTTCCCAGTCCCAACAGGTCCCATCTGTCCCCACCCTGCCACAGTGCAGGGTGAGTTCTGACACTGCAGGTCCAGGGCCCTGCCAGGAGGGCGGGAAGGTGGCCTGGAGAGCGGGCACCGGGCCTGCAGGAGCCACCGGACCCGCTGGAGTGCAGGGGCAGCATAGCAGAGACGGACTCAGAGCCTCGGCGTATAGAGGGCCTCCAGGAATGCACGTGGACGACCTTTAATTATCATCAGCGGATCCAAGGGGTGGGCAGAGCCACGCCCTGGGAACAAGTTTCCCCAAAATGTGGGAGACCGTTATCAGTACAGATTCCTTATCTTTATCCACGAGCTTGGAATGAGGAACAATTAGGGCCCCAGGAATGAGGGAATGAATAGGACCCGGGCACACCCAAAACTTCTTTGACCTTAAAACCCTCTCCGGAAATCAATAAATGCGCTGTGTGGTCCGTGGTGGGTGTGGACTGTCTCTCCATCGGAGTGACAGCCCCTTACCCGGGTCCCAGCTTGATGACTCTATTTCTGCCTCTTGGTCTCTTTTTTTTTTCTTTAACTTCTTAATCCCCCAGCTCCTCCACTCGGGAACCTGTCGCTTTCCACGCGGGCCACGGAAAACAGAGAAACAGCCCCTCACCTCGGGGCCTGGGCCTGTCCCGGGTTCTGTGACAGTGGCCACTGGCCGGGCCGGATCCGGGCAGCTGAGGACACAGGCAGTGCAGCCGTGCCCGAGGGTGAGAGTCGACTTACTCATTTACCCACCAAACCTTTCCTGGGCGCATGCCACATGCCCGGCGCAGACCTGGGCACTGGGTGGCGGCTCCGGACCACACAGCCCAGCGCCGTCCCCCCAAGGCCTGCCTTCCGGCCCACGAGCCCGCAGGCCCCGTGTGCACCTGGATGACAGAGCGTGTGCCTGGAGGGCTCCCGTGCACTTGGCAGAGGCCGTGTCCTCAGGAGCCGGGGACCCAGGGTCCCGGAGCAGGCAGGCAAAGCACTTTTGTCCGGGCCCATTAGGTACCCACCAATCTTGGATGGTAAACGGAGGTACTCAGGACAATGCCCAGCCATCCTGCATCTCTCCCGCCACCCCCTCATCCCCCCAACCAGCATGCTTTCCACCCTAAGGGCCACCATGAAACCCTTCCTAGGGGCGAGGCATTGACACCTCCGGAAAGTGCCATTAAAACCCCAGCCTCTCCAGCATAAAGCCCACCTCCTCTCCCACAATGCACGGGGCCCCTGTGGCCGTGACCACCTTCCATGGGAAAGGAGGGCGGTCTCCCACTGGAGCCCCAGACCCAGGAAGGCCCCACACCCCTCCCCCATCTCCTCGCCACACCCCTGGGCCAACAGGAAGGGAGGGAGGGAGGGAGGGAGGGAGGGAGGGAGGGAGGGAGGGAGGGAGGGAGGGAGAAAGGGAGGGAGGGAGGGAGAAAGGGAGGGAGGGAGAAAGGGAGGGAGGGAGAAAGGGAGGGAGGGAGAAAGGGAGGGAGGGAGGGAGGGAGGGAGGGAGAGAGAAAGGGAGAAAAGTGGCGTCGGGCTGAGGGCTGTCTCCACGGTCCTGGGAGGCTCAGGTGCCCCGTGACTTGCCCGAACGGCAGAGCTGGGACGGGAACTCTGGAGGCTGGTTCCCAGAGCCCGCGTCTCTGCCTGCCTGTGGGAAGGGTCCCGGTAGGCCTGCTTACTGGAGGGAACCCCAGGAACAAGGACACGGCTGGGGGACCCAGGCCCCAGAGGCAGCAGGATGGGTGACGGGTGAGTGACGGGACCACCTCCACTTCCCTGAATGATGACTGTATGGCAGGGATGGGTGGGAAGGAAGCAGGGGGCTAAGAGTGGACACCGAGAAGCTGGGAGAGGCCAGTCAGCCCAGCAGACCTGCTGGCCTGGGAGCTGGGCTCCGAGCAGGGCCCTGCCTTCACCCCGGCTCCTCCTCCTGCCCCATCTGAGTCGGCAGCTCCCTGTCCCTCCCATGGACCCGGCACAGGCCCAGCCTCCAGAGCCCCCGGGGCTGAGCCAGGCTAAATAAGGGGGACCGCCCCTCACCCCAGGGCGGGGACTGAGGCCACTCAGGCTTGAGGGCACCTCGGGGCCCTGCTAGAGCAACATTCTAGCAACAAACGCTTTTCCAGATGTGTCTCATTCCTGACGCTCCGGCAAGACCCAAGTTCCCGTCAGAGCTGGCTGTTCCCACCACCGTCTGGGCGCTGTCCCCCGGGGCCTGTGGGGGCGCCTCGGGCGCGGGCTGAGCCGGGTGCACGAGCCTCAGTCGCTGGCTGAGGAGCTGGACCTGGGCTGTGTGGGGCAGAGGCGCCCACGGGGTGGCCTGGGGGTCACAGGGCAGAGGGCACTCACCCTCCCATGGCCAGGCAGGGCTGCCCGCCGCAGGCTGGGCTGTGGAAACGGTGACCTCACCGCCTCCAGGGGCCCACCAGGAAGACGGTGTTTGGGGTGGGAGGAGACGTTAATTGCCATGACCACTGGGGCACCGTCAGCTCACCAGCAGCTCGGATGACTTTTCCAGAGGCTCTCAGGCTTCCCTGAGTGGAGGCAGAGAGCGCTGGTGGAGGGTCAGTCCTGGAGAGGGCCTGGGCATCAGGGGACGCCTCCCAGCCCGGCCCCTGCCCGGGGCACTTACGGCCACCCCTCCCCTGACCCAGACCTAGGACGCAGGGGCCCTGGCTCTGGGCCGCTCAGATGGCCCTGTCTCCCTCCTCAACCCCATGGGAGGCATGGATCCATCTGGGGCTTTGGCATGGCCACCCCTTCCAGGGGGCGGGAGGAGGGACACAGGCCAGAGCAGAGACCAAGAGGGAGACAGGATGTCCCCTCCAACTCCTCAGCCCAGGCCCCTCCCTCCTCCTGTCCTCCTGCCCCAGGCTCCCCGGCACCGGCACCGCAGGCATGAGGGTGAGTTCACCCAGGCCTGGGCTGTCCCTTCACAGCCCCTCAGGGCGAGGCTGAGCACAGGACTGGGCGGGCCGTGTGTGTGTGTGTGTGTGTGTGTGTGTGTGTGTGTGTGTGTGTCAGGGGCTGATCTGGGAAGCATCTGTTCTCCATCTGACTCCCCCCAAGGCCACAGCACCCACCTCTCAAAGCCTGTGCATTCCTCCCTGCCTGACAGATACCTCCTGGCCATTTAGGCGTCACACGATCCCCCCTAAGTCAATCAAAACCGGATTTAGTGGGCCCCCGGTGATTGGCCAGGGGAACAACTTAGTCATCTTCTAAGCCACGGCCTCAGGTTCCCTTGTCCCGAGCCCTCCCCACCCCCCCCCTGCCTGCCCTGAGCAATTATTGGGGGGGGGAAGGGGAGGGACGAGGTCAAACCTAGGTCTGAGAGGCAGGGTTTTCTATTCTGAGGTTTGGCAACTCTCCAGCAACGGACCCCCACCTGATGCCCCGGGAAGAGAAGCCGGAAAGAGGGAACAGGAAAACTTTGTCCCCGCTCAGCTGGGACTATGGGAGTTTGACCACTGTGTCCACAGGGTCGACAGTCAGGCTGGGCACTGGCCCTGCATGCAGGCACCGGGAGCTCAGGCCCCCACCCCCCACCCCCGCTCTGCCTTCATGAGGGCACTGGGGGCTCAGGGCCGCCCTGTCCTACCGCTGCTCTGCCTGCTCAGAGGAGGTCCGCCAAGAGGGAGTGAGGTCACGGTTTCCCAGCCCTGCCCTGCCCGTGAGGAGGGTGCAGGGCCAGGAAGGCGGCATCCCTCACTTCCAGAAACGGCTGGTGGTGGCATTTGTGCAGGGCTGCCAGCCACACCCTTGGGGGCCGGGGGTGGGGTGGGTGGCGACGGCCTCTGTGCTGCAGGTCCCTGGAAGGGAAGTCATTGTGCGTGTAAGTGATTTCGGATCATTTCCTCACCCCGGGCGCGCGCGCACACACACACACACACACACACACAGCACTTCCCCTGCCCCCACCTGGCTGCCACATAGCTGCTCACTCTGCTCTCCACCCCCCAGCCCCTCCCACCCTGGGCCCTCAAAAGTCTCCAGTCTGCCTTGTTAGGTCACAAAACATTGCACTGGAGAAAGGGGTCAGATAGCATTGGCTCATGGGGAAACTGAGGCTCAGAGAGGCCAGGTGACATGCCCGGGGTCTTTAAGGGGTCAGGGTGGAGGCAGGGCTGGGGTCTGGGTCTGCCAGCCATGCCCAGGCTCTCCCTGCCCCTATCCCCAAGACAGCAGGCCACCTCCTCCTCCATCTCCAGGACGGACTCAGCAAAGCGCCCTCCTCACCCCAAACCAAATGCCCTCCTCGCCCGCACAGCCAGAATTACCCGAGGGAGAGCCTGCCTTCTACTCCTCCAGGCCCCAAGCCTGACCTCTGAGCCTCCCAGCAGGGCCCGAGCCAGTGCAGAGGCAGCCAGTCCCAGCAGCACTGCGGCCTCGTTCACCCGGCTCCTCATGCTGTGGTGACCCCCAACCATAAAATTATTTTCGTTGCTACTTCACAACTGTAATTTTGCTACTGCTATGAATCGAAATGTAAACCCCTGGGTGGGGTTGGGGACAGGGGCTGGCCCCGCTCTGATCACAGCAGGGGGAGCAGGCTCAGTGTGTGGACGCTCAGGAAAGGTCAAAGGTGAGCCGAATGAGCCACCTGCCAGCCCACCCGCCAGTGTCAGGAGGGCGTGCCGGGCATCCACGGAGCAGGGACAGCGAGGCCACCTATGGATGGATCCTTGGATGTCGCCAGGCCACGCACAGGGGCTGGTGGGGTGAGTCCGGGAGGGTGAGAGGAAGAGTGGGCAGCACTGCCCTGGTCCCCCTCCTCCCCCCAGAGACCCCTCCTCCGTGGCTCGCTCTGGGGATTCTATTCATGTGAAGCCAACATTCCTGGGCCCACGGGGTGTGAGATCACAGCCCAAACAATGGCTGTCCTGCCTGATGAGAAGATGATGACATGGCCTGGTGGCCCCCATGCCTAGCCTCCAGCACCAGCAGCTCAGCCCTGCACTCCGCCTGCTCTGTGCTATCGCTCTGCAGGTCTGCTCACCAGTCCCGGGAGTCAGCTCCCAGGCCCGCACCACCTCCTCCAGGGCATCCTGTCACCAGGTTTGAGCACCTCTGGACTCCCAGGTGCTAGAGCATTAGCACAGCAGGCCTCCCGTCATTAAGACCCTATTGCACAAAGGTAAACTGAGGCCCTGAGCTAACATGGCTTCTTCAATGCCCTACACAGTGAACCAGTCTCAACTACCCCCAGCAGGGAAGGACTGACTGCATGAGCGAGGAGGCACCGCCCCCTGCAGACTACCCCCACCCCGGGGACGACACTACTGGGACCTCAGAAGATCCAGGGCTGGAGGGGCTGGAACTCACGTTGATCTTGCCTCTGCCCAGGGCTGAAAGAGAATGAATATAGTGCAGGCAGTGGCCCAGGGGCAGGCGCCTGGGACCAGAAGCCCTGGAAGTGACTGTTTTCTGAGCCAGCGGGGAAAGGGGGACTCACCAGGCCTGGAGCAGCAGCTGCCTGCCTGCATCTCTGGCCCAACCCACCCACCAGGCCGAGGACAAGTGGGAAGCGGAGGAGACTCGGCCCTGGGTTCCTAGGCTGGCCGGGGGTCCCAGACAAAGACGAGGCGTTCAGAGAGATGTCTGGGAAAGGCTATCAGCTGGGGGAAGGGTGTGACCGGGAAGGGTGGAAGAAGTCATAGAGGTCTTCCTGGAGAAGGCAGGGCTCTGAATCATAGAATCATAGAATCATAGAATCATCTCAGGATCTGAAGGGATCGCAGGGCTGTCTAAAATTCTACCTCATCAGACCCAGGAATCTCCTTGGCACGGTTCCTTCCCGAGGGCTGTGACCCCGATGTGAGTCCCTCCCCCTGGGCGCCCTCAGATCTTCTCGCCATGGGACAGCTCAGATGGGCAGAGAGCTGCTCCAACCTGTCACTTCTCAGCGATGATGCTGCCACCTTCCCCAGAGCTGCCCTCTGAGGCCACAGGCCAAGTGTACCCTCCCCCAGCTCCAAGGGACAGCTCTTCAGAGCAGAAGCACGGACACAAGACCTGTTTTTGGGGGGACTTCCACCTCTCAGGTGGACTATCCCCAGGTCTCCTACCTAGACCCTCTGTGCTCCCACCTCATCCTGGTGGCAGTGGGAGGCCCCTGCGCAGCCCCATCACACCAGGGCAGTCCTAGGGCTCCAGGAGTGGGCAGCAGCAGCCACGGCCAGAGCCCAGCACCAGAGGAGATGGCCTTGTCCCCGGGGGAACACACAGCCGGCTCCTGAGCGTCCCCTGTCTTGGGCGCATGCCCACCGCCCTCCTCATCCCCATATGAAGGCTCTCTCGTGACCCAGCCTCGGGGACCAGACCCTGTGGGCGAGCAGACCCGAGCGCCCAAAGCAGAGCCAGGGCTGGGGGTGAAGGGGGAGAAGCGGCGGGTCAGGCCCAGGCAGGCAGCATGGAGGAAGTTCCTCAGGGCAGGGGTCGGCAAACTCATCAGTCCACAGAGCCAACTATCAACAGCACAACGACTGACATTTCTTTTGAGAGTCAAATTTTTAAAACTTAAACTTCTTCTAACGCCACTTCCTTCAAAACAGACTCACCCAGGCCGTGGTCTTTTGTGGAAGAGCCACACTCAAGGGGCCAAAGAGCCGCATGTGGCTCGCGAGCCGCTGGTTGCCGACGGCGGCCTTAGGTAAAGAAATAGGGGGGGTGGGAGGGCACGGGAGGGGAAGAATTATTACAGGCCCCCTTTAGTACCTGTTTTATCCAGAGGGTTCCACCAGCGCTTCTCAGCCTGGGGTGTGGACGTGACCCCCGAGGATCTTGCCATTTTGCAGAGCCTGGTTCCTGGGTCTGGGGCAGAGGCTAGACGCCGCGTTTCTAACTGGCCCCCGGTGGTGCGCAGGGGCTGGTCTCAGGGCCATGAGCAGCCAGGGGCCAGATTAACTTAAAGAAGAAGCACCCAGTCACCGTGTGACTAGAAGGAACACACCGAGAGAGAGGAGCCTTCGGGACATCAGCGAGAGAGCGATGGAGCCTTCCTTTCCCCTCCAGCTTGAGGGAAGCCATGCTGAGAAGGGCGACGTGTTTACCAGCTCTTCCTCAGCTGCCTGTGATCAGGAGAGAGTCCCGTGGCCGTGGCCAGGGAGGCGGTCAAGCAGACATTACTCACAGGAGTTGTGAGAGGCAGGCCGCTTCGGGGGCTCGGCAGGCCCTTCTCCAGGAGGGCTGGGCCTGTGTGGGGTGTAGCCCTGATGGGAAGTCACATTTGTATCACAGTCCCCCAGTGTCCAGCTTGGGCCAGCCCCGCGGCCAAGGCCCACCAGAGCCCATTTTTCCACCACGTACTGGCCCAGACACCGGCAGGCTCAGGGCCGCTGATAACCCAAGGAGGCCTGGAGTTCTGACGGGCCACACGTGGTCCAGGGTGTCAGGGGAGGGCAGCTGAGGCCCAGGCCTGAGCCTCAGGAAGGGGTGAGGTGGATCTGTGGGCAGCGGAAAAGCCCCACCTCTTCCCAGTAATCAGGACAGGCTTCCTGGAGGAGGGGACATGGCAGGCAGATTTGTTTATGTGGAGGAAGGGAGGCCGTGCGGGAGAGGAAAGTCCAAGCAGGAGAGTTGGGAAGGGGTGCGCTTCAGTCACGGTGGGAATGGGAGCTCCCCTCACCCCCTCTCTCCACGCTGGCCCAGCCCCTCAGAGAGGGCTGGTGGAGATGGGATGGCACACTGCCCACCTACCTCCCCGCGCCCAGCATGCCCTGTGTGACCATCTTCACAGCCTGAACCTCTGCTCCCTCTCCGGGAGCACCCAGCCTGGGGGTGCAGAGGCTTGCCCTCAGGGAGTGCCATGCCCGGACCAGCCAGGTGGAACTGGGGTTAAAGGGTGAGTTCGGGCAATCAAGCCTCTGAATGGAACCGGGGGCACAGCCATAGCCAGGACAGAGTGCACACACTTAGTCCACCTCATGCCGACAGGGGAGTCGTCCAGCCTGAAGGGGGGCAGGGCCCAGCAGGACGAGAGGGCCGGTTGCTCAGGAGCTGGTCTCTCAGCTTCCCTCACTCATCCTTCCCTGGGTGACCCAGCCTCCTTCTTGATGAAGGACACACAGGGCCCTGATGACTGTTGAGAAGAGGAAATGCCAAATCCGAGTAGAGGAATGAGTCTAGGTGTGTATGCATTTGCGAGGAGGAAGGGACATGCGGTTGGTGCTTTCTGGGATTGCCACAGCCTCTGGGGCGGGGGGCGCTGGGGCGGGGGGCCCTGGGGCGCTGGGCCCTGGGGTGGGGGGCACTGGGGCGGGGGTGCTGGGGCGGGGGGCCCTGGGGCAGGGGGTGCTGGGAGCGGGTGCTGGATCCCTGGGAGGATGGCTGAGCGGCTCCTCTGGGCAGGCCAGACAGCCTCGGACCCATCCTCTCCGGGCTGCTGGCGGGCGAGGTCTGAATTGGAGGAAAGGCTGGGCTCCCACACAATAGCTCCCGTAGAAACCAGGACACTCCGAGTCCCGGAGCCCGAAGTCTCAGGCCTGGGCTGGTGACGGGAGGAAATAAGGGGAGATAGGAGAGGAGTGGTTCCAGGAAGCCCCACCCTCTTGTCCGTCCTGCTTGGGGGCTCCCAGGCGGCAGGGGAGTGAATAGGAAGAACCTGGCATCGGCCATCTAGTAGCCTGCGGGCCCCAGGCGGGCGCCCTGCTGTCTGAGACTCGGTTTCCCCATTGGGAAGTGGGAGTTTGAGTGACTGGCTAGCCAGGTGCCACAAACAGTGCCAGCCACTGTGCTGTGGGTCTGTCACAGGGGTGCTCACTGATGAGGATGCCTAAGGGCCTCTCATCGAATCACTTCCCTTCCAGCGGGGACCAGAGCCCAGGGTGGAGGGGGCCCCGCAGGGACAGCGGGAGAAGGCGCAGGAGCAGCCAGGGCCCAGCGTGGGAAGAAGAACAGAGAGGACGCACTGCCATTGAGGTGGGCTTGAAAAGTAGGCCCGATCACAGGGGTCAGGGGTCAGAGGTCGGGGGGCATGGCTATGGTCCAGATGGCTTCTGTGTCACTGCACTGCATGTGATCACACTTCTGAGGTCCGCCCCATCCCGCACCCTCCATCCGGCTCCTGGCAAAACAGCCAACATCTGTCTCCTGGTGCAGACGGGGCGCATGCTCCGTGCCAGGCCCTGCACCTTCCCCGTCGCGTCCACCTGACCGGGGACAGCACGTGATCACCCCCATGTTACAGACAGGGACACTGGCCTCAGAAGTTTTTACCTGGTCTGTTTTGTAACTTAATTAGGTTCCACAACGGAGAAGTTGGAGTTGAGATCTAGAGCCTGGGAGCAACCTCCAGGTCTGAGCCCATAACCACCCTGCCGAGCTGCCCAGGCCCCTCCCCGCGCACACCCCACGCAGCAAGGATCCCCGAAACCAACGAGAGGACGGCAGACAGACTTGGCGGCCCCCACCTTGCTCTTACAGGTCCAGAGAGCTGGGGAGGCCTGTCTGCACACCCTCAGATGAGCAGTCCCCGTCATGCCCGCTGACCCCCCCAAATGGCCAGAGGGGAGGGCTCCAGACTCTGAGAACACAGCTGGGGCCAGAGGTCCTCCCCAGGGCCCCCTGAGGACGGAGACCCATCCTGCCAGCCTCGCTGTCCTCCACGTGCACTTGGAGGGGGCCAGACCCCGGGGAACCCGCAGGTTCCATCCAGCTGGCCCAAGGTCACCACCAGCTTTTGAAACAATGGGCAGTGGGTCCAGCCGTGGCCAGAGCCAGAACAAAGGACTGGGCACTTCCTCGCATTGAGGCCCCCTCCTTCATGGTCTGCCAAGGCCGGGGCAGAGGAAGCCTCGTCAGGAGCTGGGAGGTTCTGCAGAGCCCGGGGGAGAGGCAGCCCCAGTGCCAATGGGGAGCAGACAGAGGGAGCAGAGGGAGCAGAGGGAGCAGAGGGAGCAGACAGAGGGAGCAGAGGGAGCAGAGGGAGCAGAGGGAGCAGACAGAGGGAGCAGAGGGAGCAGACAGAGGGAGCAGAGGGAGCAGACAGAGGGAGCAGACAGAGGGAGCAGAGGGAGCAGACAGAGGGAGCAGACAGAGGGAGCAGAGGGGGCAGACGTGAGAGGGGCAGCCCCCACCATGCTCCCCAGGCTAGATCACTGCAACACAAGGTATCTCCCCCCTCCCCCTCTCCGAGGCCCAGCTCAGAAGCTGGCATCTTCCCTCAGACCACCGCCCACACTGCTGAGTGTCAGTCTTTCAGAACTGTTGGATCCCCCACCGCCTAGCTCCGAACCCACCCCACCTCCACTGTCCCCAATGGCTCCCAGTGCTCACAGGAGGCAGCTCCGTCGCCTGCCATGCAAAGCCCCTCAGGTTTCAGCCCTAATATCTCTAACCTTCCCACCACCCAGACCCCCCAGATCCCTTCCCCTGGCAGCTCTGCCCTGCCCACCCTGCCTGGCATGCCTCCGTCCCTCTTTCTCCCCAACTCTCCCTCAGGATCCAGCTGTAATCCTCCAAGAAGCCTCCCTGGCTGCTCCAGCCTATGTAGGCTGCCCTCCTCAAAGCCCTGTGTCCCCAGTAAATTCTAAGGAGGATCTGAGCCCAGGAGTTTGCAGAATGGTGTCAGGAGATCAATCAATAATAGAACAATCCTCCCTTGGATGGAGGTTCCCCTACACAGCACAGTCTGTTTACACACTTGTCCTGACACCATTATTCATAGCACACACACCACCACCCCCACCCCGTGGCTGTGCTGGGACAGGGGAGGGTGAGGCAGAGGGTAGGGCCCAGAGGAGATGCCCCAGAGTGCCTACCCTTGGCGCCCAGCAGGGCACAGGGAGGTGGGTGCTTATCACCCTGAGCTCCACTCCTAAGTCAGGCGGGACTGTGCCAACCTCCCAGATGTCAACAGGCTTTAAAACAGCCCGCCAGATAAGCCGCCAGGATTGCCCTTATCGGGGCACAGGAAAGGAGCCAGGTTTAATCTCAAAACCACACCCGGAATCAACCGTCCAGAGACAGGCAGCTGCGGCCTCCCCACCCGACACCCAGTGCTGGGCTTTCTGCCTGGGGCGGCCGGCGGGGGGACTGATGTGGGCTCGGGAGGGGCTTCTTCAAAGAGAGGAGGGAGTCTTGGGCTTCGTCCCGCAGGATGGGACAGAGAGGAGGGAAGAGGAGGAGCCCCAGGCCCAGGGAGAAGGAAACAGCACTACGTAGAGGTGTGTGTGTGTGTGTGTGTGTGTGTGTGTGTGTGCGCGCGGGCACAGGCAGTAACAGGGAACGTGGGAGAGGAGCTGCTGGAGGACACTCAGAGGGAAGGCCCGCACCTTCAGCTGGGCAATGCAGGAGGGCT